CAGCCATCTTGATGCCTTCTCTGCGACATCCATGATGTTCCCGATGGCTTTATTCTTGTGCAGTCCCCTGATTCCCAAGAGCTTGAGGGCCCTGCACAATGACTGGCCGTCAAACACTCGGCAGCCAACCTCAATGGGGAAGCAGCGGGTCTTCCATCCCCTGTTACGGCATTCACCTGCCAACTTCTCGTACTTGACCGTCTTCCGTTCAAATGCCTCTTCCATCCGGTCTTCCCAGGGCACAGTCAGTTCCAGTAGAACCACCTGCCTTAATGATTCCGAAAATAGGACCATGTCAGGCTTAAGTGTGGTCGTGGCGATGGTTTCTGGAAATCTGAGCTGCCTTCCCAGGTCAACCTTTATCTGTCAGTCTCGAGCTGTTGCTAGAAGTCCCCCCGCTGAGTTCCTGCTCCCTTGTGGTTTCTCTCCCACCTTAACAAATGTGATTGCGTGCTGTACTGGCTGCTGGTGCTTGCTGAGAGAGATTCCGGTGCTGATGGTTCCAGCAATTACCCTTAGCACCCTTAGCAAATTACTTCGACAAAATTCAAATTAACCATGTTTTTTTTTTTTTTTGCGTATTGATTAACATTTGTATAACCACAATTGTACAAATACCATGGTTAAACTATGATTAGTGTAGTAAATCCATGGTTAATTTGTGCATGCTTACCATGATTTAACTATTGTAACCATTTTTTATTTTTATTTATTTTTATATAGCCTAATAAATGTGTTTATTAATTCATTGTTTTTAATACCATAGGCTATGGTTAATTTTGGTAAGGTAAATTGTAAAAGTAAGTTAGCCAGTTTACATAACCTTTCACAGTTACAGTAATTGTGTATTTCATCAGATTATTTATGCTAATATATATATATATATAAATATTTACAAAAATGTGAGGGGTGTACTCACTTCTGTGAGATACTGTATATTTATAAAGGCTAAGGAATCGTATGATCAGGATGTTAAAATAAACAAAAATCTCACCTTTCAGTGCAAACATTAATAAAAATGTATCAGCCATTTTCGTCACTTTGCTGTGTAAACATTTCCGATGTGGTCTGCGCCTATTTGCTGTGCGTTTCTGTTTGTGTTGTATTTGCAGCGCGTTTCTGTTCTTGCATCACGTTTCTTTATTTGGATGTGTTGTGAGTATTTGCAGCGCATTTATTTATTTGGTTGTGTTGTGAGCATTTGCAGCATGTGTGTTGTCAAATTGATGATGTTTTCTTAATTTGCAGGTGTTTTTTTCTATTTGCATGTGTTTTTCATTTGCAGCGCAGTGAGCTCTCTCGGCCACCGTAAGTGAGTGAAAGTACAAAATAACCAATTAAAGATATTTTCAGTTATTACATTTGCAAACTGCAAATTGTGTTCAAAATGAACCTACATTTCAAAATAATAAGTTGAATTAGGGATAGTAAAGTTCTATTTCCAAAAGCACAAGCATAAAATGTTACAAAATGTGATAATTTTATATTCAGTTTGTGAAAATGAGAATATCAAATACAATTAGCAAAAATGTTAAATACAGTACATTTTATTGTTACACTTTATTACACTTTATTGTAATGACTGCACATAGCCCAGAGAGCTGTTCTGATCTCTGATGGGGGATGGCTCACATTAGCAGGCCCAAGCAGGCAGAGAAAAACAGGGCTGAGATTAATTTAAAAACTGGCAGATCTGTGACTGAGGCAGCAGATACAGATCTTGCTTGAGCTTCTCTCAGCCAGACGGTGTACCGGCTAGCACGAGTATATATGCCAGGTTTCTTTGGCAATGCACAATCCTCTCCATGACTTGTCACACCATAAAGGTAAAATCTCTCCATGTCGTTGCTGTAACACTGTAGAGGGCCTCCGCTGTCACCCTTGATTGAAAAGTATTCCAACAGATATTGTTAATCACTGTCTTTCACTGACCAGTTACTCTGAAATAATGAGACAACATTACCTGACACGTGTCAACTCCCCCTTTGTCAAATCCTGCACAGATCATGTTGTCATTAACATGGCCATCATACCAGCTACTTTGTTTGCAGATCCCAGTATCAATGAGATCAACTTCCGCTTCCTGAAGAGTGCTAAATAACATTCCTAAAAAAAAAAGTTGATTTTTGACATTTGATTAAAATGTTTCAGATTTTAAAAAAATTATATATATGTATTATATGTAATATAACAAAAAGTATAGTGTTTTAAAAATGATAAAATATGTTTAAATAAAAAATTCTATTTTTTTTCTTTAAATACTCTCTTTAAATATGATCATAAGAAATTATCTTAAATAATCCATAAATGTTAAAAATTCTAATTTTGTTAAAGGAAAAATATTGTTGTCATGTAAAATGTAAGTGTTCATGGCTTGCTTCTCAAAGAGGAAAGAGAGAACTTATTATATAAACCCACATACTTTTAACAGTTTAACTGCCAGAAAGATGTAAAAAAAAATAAAATCAGAACTCCTCTGATATATGAACCCTTTTCACAGACTGTGATGACGCATTTCCACAGTTTTTAACATTGTAAATTTTGCAGATTTTTTTTTTTCATTTTTAAAAAATTATTGTATAATTTATAACACTATACTTTGTGTTATATTATCTTACTATATTACAGAAAACTAATCAATGCTGATGCATGAGTGTTTCTAATACAATGACTGAGAGAGTGAGACCAATTTGACATTTCTATCTTCTGAGCAACATAATCTCTCAATGTTTTTTTTTTCCCTTTTGCTATTGGAGCAAATGGGAGCACAAAAAAATATATTTGAAGTTTGCCTAACGCAAATTGCGTTCATCATAAAAGTTTATCCAACAATGACGACTTCCACTTCTGCAAACTCCCGAAGGTGCCTATTACATATTCTGCTAAATAATAATCTGTTTATGATGCAGAGATTTTGCATTTTCGACTAGTGTTTTTTGACATTTAAATTAGGGCTGCACGATAAATCGCATGCGATATTTAACGCGCATGCGCGTTAAATATCGCATGCGATTTATCGTGCAGCCCTAATTTAAATACTAACCTTCGAACACTGAGCTGCCCCAACCAGTGATGTAACACGAACTGAAGCTTAGTTGTTTCTCATCCATTTCATTTTCCATTATGCACAGAGGCTGCACATGTTTTGTGAAATATAAAGGGTGATGCAGATGCAAAAGTGCCACATCGTTGTCATATTTCGATCGGCTGAAATTCTCATGCAGGATCACTTGCTGGACCGAACGATACTGGACACCCTTTCCATACTTCGATCGAGAATTCACTCCAGCCACTATTCGTAATTTATAGTTGTTATAGTTGTCTACATCCAATGCTAATCTAAAAAGAAATAAGGATATAATTAACTGAACTACTACTGCAAGTAAGTATATAATTTTAGTTCAACTACCAGCCCTTGTTTATTTAACTAAATGTGCACCTGTGAATGGTTCTTGGGCTCAGATGAAATATATCACCTATTTGCTTTAACACCCAACATTTAACATTGCTTAAAGTTATAATAGTAAGATGTGTATCTGCGCACAAATGCTGCATGGTATGAGGGAGGAGAAGCATAAAGTGTCTCACCTATTTCTGAAGCAGTGGGATGCGGTGACTACCCACCGATGGCTGATGATGGACCCACCGCAGATATGCCTTGACATCCGCTGTATGCTCACCTGCCAAGGCCATGCACCCTCCAATGCAGAAAGGCCTCCTGAAATACGAAGGTGCTTTGGAGGATCCAGTAAAGGTCGCTTTCCACAACTTTAAAAGTGCATTTGGTCAGTTGCACTGAACACTTTTCATTACTTTTTTATGTGACAACCACTGATGATTAGATTGTCTGTAAATAATATTAACCCATTTAAAACGCCAGTAACATTTATGACTAAACTAAACCGTTTATATGCATTTTTGATATGCGATATTTAAAAGGTCTAATGATGTATTAAGATGGTCCTCTCACAATGCATGTAAATGTTAGTGGGAAGACACAGATCCCTATTTTGAATAAGTAATGATTATAAGTAAAATTATCAAAATAGAGTAAAAATTCAATTTATTGTTACATTAAATAAAACATTTAAGAAATATTCTTATAAACATTTAAGAAAATATTTTCTTGCATATGATTTTTGTTTTCCCACAACTGTCTGATAGTAAATACATATTACATTATGATACTTTATTAATTGCTGGATTTTTTTTTTCTTTTAGTTTACCACTGATAACAGTTGTCTAAAGGAATAAAATATTTTTTACTAGAATTCTCTGAAACCTCACAAAAGGCATGTCATTTGTTTTATTGGGATTAATAATAATAATAATAATAATATTGTTAAAATGAAACTACCTGTAATCCCAGAAGATAACGAGCTAATGAAGACTAATTGTAGGGCTGTTATAAACATCATAAGTGTGAAAGCAATAAGAGGGAGATACAAAGCAGATAGAAACAATCGAATCTCCTTGGAACTGATTATTAGGTAATCTGAAAAGATTCTGAAAGTGACGTAAAATCGTTCTGTAATGTTTTAAAAGACCCGGACAAGGAGGAACGTGCAAATCAACATTTCAAATCTTTAGTTTATGCAGACAACAGCGTATTGTACAATACATAGGCCTATTTACAATTTCTATGACTTAAAGTTAGGCTATGTAAAGGACACTAGAAAGGAAGGTCATCCTTTAGAAACACCATTAAACAAATACACTGAGATAAATTTCATGCGAGTTTGTCCCTCATGACACCAAGCCAACAACCTGTTTGTTATTTTTATAGCGTTTTAAAGATATTTTCAAACTCTTAGTCAAACACAATGAAGGCTGTGTGATTGTTGCTTCAGACGTTTTGGGCAACATAACATCAAAATGGTAATTCCCGAACATTCCTGAAACACCTCATTCTCGAAGAAGGCTCTTTGAGTGAAATTCCAATAAACGAAAACTTAAATGAACTCTCTTATTGTGGAACTGGTGCTACCTATTGGCCGACACTCCCTTACATTTTGCTGGGGGTCATCAATTATGCAGGGTAACGGTGCACACTGAAGGAAGGTAGCAGCAACAATATGGCGACATCCGCAATTTCTAACGAATTTATTCGACATCTGCAGTCCAGTGACGATTTTTTGGATACCCGCTAACGTAATCATAGTAAGTATTGTGTTTATATATCGCACTCGCGATGTGTTTATTCCCAGCAATGGAAGCCGTTGCACTGTCAATGAATGTCGCAGAGAAGCCGCACGCTGAGGGAGTTTTAATGCTAGACCCTTCTCGCCAAATGCACATTCGCTTTTATATTCCGTTATAACTGTAATGACTGTAATGTAGTTCACTTTTTTGTTCAAATGAACCTATTGTGATTAGGCCCTTTCATTTCACCCTCTCAAATGACACTATTAAGCGGTCATAATAGGCTATGAGTTAAACACATCCTTGCAAGGCATTATGTGGTGTGTTATTTGTATTTGCATGATCAGTGACGTGATCCGTAGCCTGTAGCTTTGCTCCCTCATCTGAATAAAGGTCTTCTTGTCAGCATTTATCAAATGTCAAACTGAGCAAATGAGCAAAAATGCACATGTGGACAGGTTTGAAGTGATCCGTTGTAATTAAGACGTTCAAAAGGCAATACATGCTTGGCTGCTTATTGATTGTAGGGTGGACGCAGGTTGCACGGGTGTGGTATGCTACATTTTCTTGTTCATGTTCCTCGCGAGCAGAAACCTGGCACAACGTCGAGATATCTCGCTGTTCTCTAAAAGCGATAGACGTTTTGCTCAGAAATGCGGTTATATGACTAAAAAGATGTTGGCTGTGTGAGTATAAAAGGGTAAATACGACGAGAGAGCGAAAAAAACACTGCAGTAGCCTATTTTCCGTTTTTCCTCCGCGGCTTCGGACCGCTTTCGTGAAGGCGTCGGGCTGTTTAGAAACGTACGTTTTCGGACAAAATTGTTTTCTGACCCCGAGGAAAATGTGACAACGTTTTGGAAAACGCAAAGATGTTTGGAGAACGCAAAGAACCGTTGTGCTGATAAGGATTTCGTGACCAAACACTGATGAAATCAAGGTAGGCTAGGACCACTGCGCATCGAGTCAGATAACCATACTTGACGATGTTCTTGAAATAAGGTAGAGGTTTGTTTTAAGGAATTGTAATTTATGTCCGAATATACATCATGTATTGACATGTGTTTTGCATTTGAAGACGTTAGTGTGTCGTTTTGACAGTTCTGTGGCGCAAAGAAGCTCGAAAAGCACATGGATGAAAAGGAATTCATAATTGTATTCATAATGCTTCCCAAATTAACCTATGTCCTCTCATCTGTAAATAAGCCGTGTCCCTGTGCAGCCCAGCATAGTCCCTTCAGTTATTGAGATATTTAGGCCCACCCAACAGAAGCCCACCTAGTTCATTTGATACGAAATCCCTTACAACCTTTTTAATAACCCCCTGAGAAACAATATGCTTCCATATACTTAAGCTTATGGAAGGTGCACTGTAAAAATGTAATTCCTGGCAGCGGTATGCCATGAGATTTCATAACTGTCTTTAGTAATACTACATACTACTGTTTAACCAATTTGAATGTGATTGTTCACAAAATGCTAAATATTATTACAACTAATAAAATCTTGTGAGGGCAACTATTTGTGTGTGTGTGTGTGTGTGTGTGTGTGTGTGGGTGTGTTTCATAATAGAGAATATGTTAATCAATTTTAATGAAATGTATTTAAGTAACAAGATGTGCTTTTTTAAACAAATAACTAACAATTAATTAACATGACAACACAATTAACAGCATATGGCAAAATAATAATCCTTTAACCATAAATGCATAATTTGTTCATATTGCATTGCATGCTGGAAATTCTCGAAACCTTAAATCAGAAGCATTTTCTAGAAAGTAAATGTGTATTCAGACAACTCTGTTAGGCTTAGTGGGTCAAAATGTGCAGAAATATTGTTGCTCTTGCATTTATTAATTTATTTTATTTTATTTTTAAATGTAGATTTAAAGTCATTCTAATTTCCTACTGTATATGATTCAAAAAAACCCTTATAAGTCCCTTTTTACAGTGTGGTGCTGATTGGACAGCTCCCGTAAGGCAAGTTCCTCTTTGCTTGTGTTGTTTTGACCACACAGCTTTACACAGTTTTACTAATACGCAGTGTTGGGGAGTAACTGGTTACATGTAACGGAATTACGTAATTTAATTACAAAATAAATGTAACTGTAATCTGTTACAGTTACTAAGAAAAAATGGGTAATTAAATTACAGTTACTTATGAAAATGTTAAAGATTACAAAGGGGGTTACATCTGAATATTTTCACACACATACAGATTTGATTTATTTCTTTCCCAAATTGCATCGACTGCTTTAAAATATGAGACACCAATGTTTCAGGAGTTTAGGACACAGAATAGGACACATGCTTATTCAATAACTGTTTTCTTTCCTGTTTGGGTTTATGTATATGCTTTATTTTTTTTTTTTAAAGATTAACAGTTTTTTTTTTCCCCAAAGCATTGCTAGATGCCAGTGTTACTTGTCATGGCTATGCAAATATTTTGATTTCAAAAAGCTAGTATTAAACTATATCTTATGATCATAAATCTGTATTTAACCGCAGAATGATCTCAAAGTAAACATAGCTGCTAAAGTCTGATTTTGTGGTGGCTGTGCTTTAAATTAAATAATTATTATCTTAATTCAAGTGAAGAAGGATTTTGAAAGTCTGATACTAACTAGTGTTGAGTCCTACTGTAAAGTTAACCGTGACTGCTTTAAATGTTTGAAAAAAAACAAAACAATTATTTTAAAACATTTGTTAAAAATTTTGAAAAGTAATCAAAAAGTATTCAAATGTAATCAGTTACATTACTTTAATAAAGTAATTGAAATAGTTACACTACTATTACATTTTAAATAGGGTAACTTGTAATCTGTAACCTATTACATTTCCAAAGTAACCTTCCCAACACTGCTAATAAGACATTGAACATTTTAGTATGATAACTTCTTTTGTTTACCTGTTTCATTGCTAAGGGAAAAAAAATAAACTTAAACCAACCTAAACTGGTTTACAGGTCTTTGCTGGTTTAAGCTGGTCTCCTAGTCTGACCAAGTAAGTGCCCAAAACCCTTTATAGACCTGCCAAGAGACCTGCTAAGACTGACAAACCAGCTAAGGCTGTTTTAAGCTGTTTTTTTTCCAGCAGGTATTGAAGTGATATCAGATTCATACCCATGGGACTTCTGCCACCAATGGTGTCTGTTATGTGCCAACGTTTGTCGCATTCCTTGATATTTTGTTCATGTTTCTTATTTGCTTGAAGGTAAATAGGGTATATTTACTTCAAAGGCAAGATGAAAATGCAAATGCCATTTCTGAAACAAAACTGGAATTGGATGGAGAGAAAAGCTAAAAGTCAGCTACAGTAAGTAGCTCTGTAATATCAGGATATGGCTTGGTTAAGTGTCTGGCCCATAAGTGCACACAAGCTTTTAGATGATGTGGTTCACCAGGCCTCCCTTCACCCACCCCATTTCCCATTCTGCAGCCTTAGGGACATAACGCATGTCCCAAATCGGCCTCTTAGTGGAGGTTTTGTTCATGAGGACGATAGGTTCAAATCTGCTTGTGCTATCGTGAGGTAGGCCTATCTTCTAATCCAGTCTACATCCTTTCAGCTCCCAGCACCCTTTCATCTAAAATAGAAACATCCATCATAATGACCCAAAAGAACCATACCATGAGAAGTTACACAAGCACAAATCAGGAAAAAAAAGTCCAATGAATCACTTATCACAAAGACAATTAATATTATTGCAAGTGTAATCCAAAGACAAACATTAAGTATCACCTTTATCTGCTCATAATGGAGGGTGCTTTTCATTTTTCATGAAGTGGATGACTCATCCAGGATCTAGTGCCAGTCTCTCTTTAACATGCTCTCAATTTAGCAACCGATTGTTTTGATATGTAAGGTCATATTTTTAGATGCAAGGCTTAGCATTTTACTTTCCTGTGCTTAACATATCAGTTTGTGTGAGCGGATGATGTAACAAGGTAGTATTGTTCAGTAAGACTATCTTTCCACAAGCTAGAATTAAATCTAAATGATTAATTTGATAATTTGCTACGTGTACTACGTTAGGCTAACTGAGACTTGTCATTTGCACTTACATATTGTTGCTCTTTTGTTAGTTTTTGATTGCTTCTATTGTCCTCATTTGTAAGTCGCTTTGGATAAAAGCATCTGCTAAATGTAAATGTAAAGTACATTTTGTTGTTTTGCTTCTTTTTTAATTGTGACAAGGTTGTGTGGGCTCTCTTGGCTTAGATTTTAAGTATTGATAATGTGATACAAGATAGTAGTAGCTGGTAAAAATAGTAACCTAATTGATGACTAATGATTATATGCATGAATGAATAGTTATTGTAATGTTGTAGATTAGAAAGTCTTGCATTTACAGTTTTTCTAATTAAGCTCATTTATAGATTTTATTCAAAACTTGAAATCACTTGATTTTCTGATACAAATGACTTCTGTCTGGTGATGTATACTGGATTTTTCCAATCATTTAGTCAGCGTAAATCCTTTTCTTGCAGTCAACTGATCTGTCACTACTTCTATTTCATCTCAACTTTAAGTCCTGAAATTTTAGATTTCTCCATTTGCCAACCTTCATTAAAGATCAGCAAAGTATATACAAATATTGATAATAGTATTAGTAATAAATATTATCACCCCAAATGTTACAGCTTTACATTGAGTTTTGCAGTAATAATAATGTAACAGTAATTCAGGTTGACTTAAGAAGAGGTTGATATCACACATCACAGTTTCCGTGTCCAAGTGCTCTGTTAAATCCCAAAAGCAAACAACAAACAGTGCTAATATACACTAACAGTGTGCTGTCATACTACTACCTAAAAATGATGATCCTAACCTTTATCTCAATACTGAAATTTCAGTTGGCCACAGTGATTCATCTTTAATGAATCAGTAAAATATTGGTGTCCGGGACACTGTGAGCACAGAGACTGCAGTCAAAGTCCCTTTCAGGGAAAGTCTGTTCACTCGGCGGCCATATTTACAGAGCCTCTGGGAAGCGATTTCAGGCGTCCAAAACCAAC